AGTTCGAGACGAAATGCAGCGAATTTCCTGCAAATGTTTTTTAACGCTTGACTGCGCATGGGCGATACCATTAACTAGAGGGGAGTGAGTAACTGATATATTTCAGCGCACTTTATCAATATATTTCACACTAGATGGCTCTGATGTAACTCTGTGGCCTCGCTCCTTCTAGCGGATGGTATCGCCCATGATCAGTCAAGCGTGAAAAATCTTTTGCAGGAAATTCGCTGCATTTCGTCTCGAACTTTTTCACTCCCCGAAGCACAAAATGTGAATTTACGCCTATAATACACGTGCACGCGCGCGTACACACGCGCGTATGCGCATCCATTAGTGGGTGTGTATGTGTGTTTTTGTGATTGTAAAAACGCGTAGTATAGCCGTAAATCCACTTTTTGTGCAATGGGGGGTGAAAAAGTTTAGGCTGAAATACAGCCTATTTCCTCCAAAAGTTTTTTAACGCTTGACTGGTCATGGGAGATACCATTCGTGAGAGGGGTGAGGCAGCGGAAGGTTACTGTTGTATGCCCCTTATATGTACCCTGTGTCTCTAGCGTTTCTCGTTGCTGCCACCAGGTGGCGACACACAAATGCACGAATATTTCGTTCTCTGGCGTGGCGTGTCATGGTATGCTGTGATCAGGAGTAAGATAATATAGAGGAGTATGACTGTCCAAAACATGTGAATTTCAACATTTGCTTGCCTAATTTTACCGATGATATATTACGTGCAACTCGATAAATCTTACTCCTGATATGATATGGTATGCTGTGATATGGTATTCTGTGATATGGTATATGCCGTGGCGTGCGATCGATATAAACCAATTATGAAAGAAACAGTCAGTGTTTTAGGACAAGAAATACAGTTTAATATTAGAACCACCGTTTGAATTACACCAGTTGTGTACACACACACACAGCTCTTGATATATATATATATATATATATGTATTCCGACGCGCAAAATTCAATACATCGAACGTATGCGAAAGCGATTGTTGTGCCAGCGTCGCTAGACGCATGCGCAGTAGCGCCATTAAATAACACCGCTTCAATATAAGTACGTCTCTACAAAGTTACAGTAGGTTAGGGCATGCAACATTCCTTACCACTCTTACGATGACGGTTTCACTGCAGTGTTAATAATAATAATAATAATAATAATAAT